TTCTCCAGATAGACGTCCACTGATGCCACGGGCAGCGAAGGGTAGAGTACTAAGTAAAGAGCGCTATGACCCCACTCTAGAGTTTCACTCATTACTCAAGCACAGAATATCAAGTCTACGTCAGCCACTATTATGTTTAATTGTAAGAATATCTGCTTCAGATAAGATGCATCCTGCTGGGGGAAAAACAGGAAGAAGAAAGGAAGACTATTACCATTTTCAAAGTGCTGGCAAAAAGTTGACTCAAAAAAAGGGTGACTGAGATGCAGATAACCTGTAGAATTCACAGATAAGGTGGGCCAACTCTGAAAGTTGGACTACAAAAAAGAAAGCTTTTAAAGAGGCTAAAATAAGGTGAAAGAAACAGAAAAAAATACATCCTGTTTTCGAGAAGGTGATAAGTGTGCAGGCAACGAACGAGGATGCTTTTGGCAATAGCCCCTTCACATATTGTCACATCTCTTTTAGTGGATTTTAGGGTATACGGAGCGTTGTCTGGTGTTGTGACATAATTAAAATGATCGTAGTCATTATAAACGAGAAGGACATTGTTAATTCTTGTCTGAGCACTTACCGTCTGGAGCTTCTCGAAGAGGTACCCAATCACTTCGCGTCCTCCTCTCCCCGTTTTCGATCACACACAAAAAAAAAAAAAAAAAAAAGATCTAAAAAAGCGGATATAACTTGCCCCCCCCCCCCCCTCCTTTTTTTTGTAGAAATGTTTATTAGGGGTTTTTGACTTTGTGGTTAGGGTCTAAAAGAATAGATTTAGGGGCTTGGTTTGGCAAACAAAAATGGCTTTGCGGAACTGAAGGGTGCCACTTGTCCGTGAGTGTCACCGCATGCGCTCGACTTAATAATAATAATAATATTTTATTTCCATCACACTCGATGGTGGCGACCAAGGGAAAAAGCTGCATACACAGCTTGACGAGCCCTTGACCGCCTACAGTGCACGGCGACGGAACACAACAGGAAAAAAAAAAAAGAAACATACATACACACAGAGGTTGCAACACGCAAAAATTCACCATGGCAGATAAAGCAATATAATCAAATACGAGAACAGTGATTTAACTAGTTATCATGACCACCCATAATATATAATGAACGGATTTCCCCTATTGACATTTTATTCCAGTCCAAGTTTTTCGATTCGTAAAGATTTAATAAATTAGGAATATTGTGCCTCAGCATTTGAGTGCCATAATTTGTTCTTGGCGTGACCACCCCCCAACATTCAGCGCCACGAGTAGGATAAGTAATAATATTTTTTGAGAGGCGGCCAAGGGTTACTAGAAAGTTTGTGTTCCTAATTAGCTCTATTTTAAGGCTTGTACTGAGCCTGTAAGCATACAAAGTGTGCACATTGATAATGCGGAACTTTTTGAATAGGTCGGATGTATGCGATTCAAATGGGACATCGGATATGGCTCTTATTGCTTTTTTTTGTAACAAATGTATCCTTTCAAGATTCAAATCCCAAATACCCAAATAAAAACTCCCTAATGACGTAGCGCCACGGGAGGAGTGGCCGAAAAAACGCCGCAAAGTTTCCTCCTCCCCGAATTCGAAGGCGCACTCAGCTTCGCGATGTTTTCACCGTTGGAGGGACGAAAAAAATTACCGCATCTCCACGTGGTAAATGATGTTGATTGGGGCGAAGCTCGGGTGGGTGCTGATGATACTGATTTTGGTCATAGGTAGTGCTGATGGTGCCGTTTTCATTTATGTCAGTAGAAGAATGTGTGGTTTTCTTCTTTTTCTTTTTGTAAGAAGACAGATGGGATGGCAACTCAGAACCCCCTACTCTTTTTTTTTTTCTTGATACTGATTTTGGTCATAGGTAGTGCTGATGCATGGTGCCGTTTTCGTTCATGTCAGTAGAAGAATGTGTGGTTTTCTTTTTCTTTTTTTTAAGAAGACAGATAAGATGGCATCTCAAAACCCCCCTTTTTTTTTTTTTTTCATGCTCTCGCTGCTGAATTCACGAGCAGGGGCACGGCGGACGGACATACGGACATGGCTAGCCCCTAAGCACGGTGGAAGAAATACATTTAGGTGGCGACTCTGGCCGCTCTTCCCGCGGGGAGCGAGCGACCAGATCGTGTTCGCAGCTAGCCTCGAACAAGGAGTATACTCTGCTTCACCTCATGATGTACCGCAGGAAAGGCTACAAGCGCGAGCTCCTTGCTCTGGGGCACATCCCGGCGGCACAAGATCTTGTGACTTAAGAGCAGCTGCCAACGCTATGAGCTCGCGCTTCTAGCCTTCGCTGCGGTACAACATAAGGTGAAACGAAGTTTAGTTGTTCCGCGCCGCCGCGGAGGGCGCTGAGGTGTGAGCACCGTAAGCACCGTGGGTATGAGGTCTCTCCTCGGCGGCCACGGTGTCGGGGGCGTAGCTTGCTCGCCTTTTTCGCGGTGCGGTGGTGGTGCGCGGTCAGTGGCTGGCCTCATGTTTTGCTTTGGTGCTGTGTCAATCACCGGTGCCACCATCGTGCACGAAGATGAGCCTTAACCAGAAGAAGTTATGCTATAAGGATGGGAAAGACGTGCTTCGTTTCCAACTGCAATTCGTGGTACCGGAACTGCGCAGAGCGAGTGTCCTTGTCTAAACCACCATCGAATGTCGCTCGCCTGGAGCAGTGGCGTCGTGCAATCCCTAGGTCCGATCGCAAGTAATTACTACCCAGTCTCCTCATCTCGTTGACCAAGTGAAGACCAAGCTTGACAGTCTAATTTCTGCCGAAGACTGGGAATGCGAAGATGTCTGGACAGAAAAGGCTCAAGAAACCAAGGCTATGGATTGCATGCTATATTATGCGACTGAGTGTTTGAGCGCGAAAAAAAAAAAAAAAAAAAAGAAAAAAGCTACACGCTGCCCTGCATGCCGATCCGCTTTCAGCATCGACAAGAACGCTTCTACTGAAGCAGCACTGACAAACGTGAAGAACAGAGGATGCCTTATACACCCCAACAAGAACCTTTTACAGCTACTGAAGAAAGCGAACAGTTCTTTGTGGAAAATAAAAGCCACCAGACTGTCTACTGGGACACAATCGACAGTATTCTTGACACATGCACAATAACGTTTCCATACGCTGAACGCAAAGAAACAAACAACTGCCGCGTTGCTCCACTACTACTTTAGCATGCGAATGAGACAACACTGTAAGCATATTACGATGAGTAGGAACAAACAAGCTCAAGAAATAAAGAAAGCATCAAAGCAGCGCTCGTCTTAGTTTAAGGGCATGGGCGAGAAACACAGGGTGTAGGAGATGGCGTTCTTTGGTAGTATGAAGTGAATTCAGCTTTTATGTACATTTTAAAGCAAAAATATTTGTCAGGTATTTATTTACCTGTAAGACGGGGTGACACCATATTGTGAGAGAATAGATAAAAAGTGATTTATGTCTTATAACCGCTACTATTGTTTGACTTTCAGTCACTGTGTCATCATGTCAGTCAGTATGTCATCATACTGTGTCATCGTTTCAGTCACTGTCATCATAATTAGGAATTGTTTTCTGCTGACAAGGTTTGTATGTTCCACAGTACAAGTTGACATTGTATGTATAATCCATTTGTAATGCTAAAACCTTTCTGCGCATGTAATGAATTATTTAGGCCCCATTATGTAACTTTATTATAATTTTTTTTTTTCAATAAGGCACGAGCAGGGTGGAAAAAATCACCCGACCTCATAGAAAGCCACGCAATGTGTGTAAGCAATTTACGGAACTGTTACCAAACCTGTTGTTTGACAAAACATACAAGCACGACCCAGATGTTTACTCTAAATTATTGAAGGCCCAGTAGATCTATGCCGGGAAGTTTTATATTTATACGAGTATTTTTGTCACGTTGAGTCATCATCGGAATGTTCTCGTTTAAAAAAAAAAAAAAAAAAAACAGGAACCGCACGGGGGAAACGGCAATCAGTGCCGGTGCGCCAACATAAATCCATCAATTCACTGCACAGTACACACAAAGGGATCGAGTAAAGAATGCATAATTTCCTTCACAAGCCCTCCATACAAGCCTTCACAAGCCCCTCTATACGTGGGCGCCATCTATCCCCGTGCGAGTGAGGCGCGCTCGGTGCGCCGAACATAATGTGGTCGCCGCGCGAGACAGAGAGTCATCACCTAAATGTATTTCTTCCACCGTGCCCCTAAGGAGCTTCGCCCCTAAAATTCCTCGCGATCCCTCTCCATCTCCGGAACATTTGAAGTGCAGAAAAAGGCATGGGCACGTGCACGTGGCTTTGGAAAGAGGCTCGTATGTGTAAGTTCTCGTACAGACAAAATAATTCTACTAAGATAGGCTCCCGCGCTTTTGCTTTCACAGCAAACATTTGTGGGATGGAGCGTATAGGTGCCGAACAAGATCACGTGAGAAGGATCGGTGGCCGAGCGCGGGCTAGCGCACACGACCTCGGAGCACGTGGAGCGAAAGCTAGCGCTGCAGAACCCAGGGATCCTGGGTTCCATCCCCACCCCTGCCAGTTTCGATTTGGATGAACATCGCACCGGCGTGTGGTCGTGTATCGCTACTGGGTGGCGTACGTTAAAGACCCCAGGCTAGCAGCTGCACTGCAATGTCTCCATGTTCAGGCAGACTAAACTCCCGCTGTATAAACTAATTTGTTTTCTTCCTCTTCTGGCTGGTTTGTGGAGTAATTCAATGCCGTGGCTGGAATGTGGTGGTGCTTATTTGGTGCACTCTTAACTTGTACCCGACTATAGTAGGGGAAAGCATCCTGCATGACATTGAACAACAGTCCAGGTTTCATTCGCTTGCGGATTGCCGAGTGGGCACGTCAGCACGAGGCCATTCGGCACACCTTGATCCAGGATCGCAACAATGGGCCAACCGAAATAAACCTACTAATTCTAGTCTTTACTAGAGACCCCTTTGGTGTTACCTGATGTAGATGCGAGAAAGACAATACGCACTTCCCTTCCATCGGCAACCTCCATTCAATTCACAAAATAGCTTGGGGAACTTTTATTATGATGCTAAGAAACAAACGACATCCTCCTTGATAATAACACATCTGTATCCATAGTAGCAAAGAAAACAAAAATATAAAAAAGCAATGTCGGTCCATCGTATTTCTGAATTTCAACACTCTGCCATAAGAGCTCCTTTCCATGGACAAAAACAAAGACCGACAAACACTGGCCATACACAACACAAAGAACAGCTCTCCAGAGAAAGAAACGCACAATCACGTTGCTCACAGAGGCATGCATAGGTACCAGTTTGCAAATCTCTTCGGGTGAACAAAGAAAACAATGATGCATCTCGACGTACCGACTCCGCCATCTCCTGGAAAGCAAAGCTATCTGTACACAACAAAGTTCTCGACCCCATGAGCTTTCTCCTTGTACCCCATGCAAAGTACACACCTCTCCTCAAAAACAAGGTTCCAAAAAGCGCGCACACACATACACACATTGCCGTCGAAAAACGTGAGAGGGATTTTCGGCCATTGTGACGACCCAACGTTTTGCGGCACTCAATTCGAACATGTACACAAACGCATAGCAACATTCAGAGCAGGGGCGGTCTACTACGTGTCGCAGACCCCCGAACATTCTTCTTGGCAAGTTTACTGGCAGCAATATCGTTTCTCGTACCTTGTTCGCACGTGCAAGTCGGAGCCATATCCAAAGACAGAACCCTCTAGACAGAATAGCTGGCCAACTCTGCCTGAAAACACGACAGACGCGTCTAGTTGGTGAGCCTTCCAGCGCTTGAGTGCCGCCAACGAGCAACAAACACGTCGAGTGTGTATCGTTAAAATGTTTGTCTCGTGGTGCCTAGCCAACAAGTTGTTCGGCAACATTTGCATCCGCTAAACAAAAAGATGTTGTGTCTTCCGCGGTCAGACCACGACCTTTCGGAAGAATCCTTCGGCTCTGAATGCTCTCATCTTACATTTCTCACATTGGCACCAGCCAGAGTTCACAACACTCAATGCATAACAGCTTACCGCTAAGGCATGCTCTCAATCAAATGTGGTGCAACATGGCACGAGACTCCTTACGTAATAAAGTGTTCCAGGCGACTGTTCACATGGTCACACACCACTTTTGCCATGCTTGGAAAGGAATGAAAATCTTGTCCACATGAATTCTCCAATCTAAGCGAGGCCTGGAAAACGGGTTATGCTAGCCACAGCGAGACACTCCAGGCATACAAATGCATGGACCCCCTTTAATAACAAATTCGCAACAGTACACGTCTTACCTGTTCTGTATTTCACTGAGCCAATATGTTTAATCAAAAGAAACCTCGGCACTTGATTTTTGTCTATCTCGGTGCTCGCGTAATTCAACCACCTCTAATAACAAAACATACAAATTTGAGTTCTTCGGTATCACCTCGTCGCATCCTAGTCGACTCCCCGATAGAAGCTGTTGCATGACTTAAATAAAAGCATTTGTGCCACGGATCGTGTAACCTGGAGCCAGACGGACAGCTGCTCTCAAAATTCACCCAATCAACTTGGAACAGGGGCCCAAAGCCACCTTGTGGCACCTCTAAGGCTACGGGCAGGACGACGTCGCCCTGCGGAAGCTTTCCGCTCGCTCTAGTTCTTAACTGCCAGCCTCATTGTGAGGCTATCTGCCTGCTCGGACCTGTGCCCTCTGGGAATGCGTGCAACTCTGAAATGATTTACAGGTCTTCGCTTTCCAATTATAGCAAATAATGAGACAGGTTCTGGCGAGTGAACGCCTCTCTGGGCAACATTGTGCCGAGGACGGCAGCAGCCGGAGTACTGCGTGCGCTGGCAAAACAAAAATGCGAAACAAGAAGAGAAAAAAATACATTGTCAAAATTTTTACTATTTTTTCACATATTTTTAACTCAATGGACAAATGAGAGGAATAAAAAAAAAGCCCTTTTTTTTAAGTTACCCGCAGCGACAGACTGCTGAGTTCGAGTCGCGTCGTCCTACGAGGAGACGGCACGACGACGGGTGGAAGAGAGCTCGCCCGGATGACTCCAATCGTTTTTTTTTTAATGAAATCCCTAGATCGAATTCAGTTTTTAAGAAACTCCAAAAGAGCGAGAACAAAAAAAAAGAAAAAGGCTGATCCGTTAAGGAAGAAGCACAGTGTGGACGACGAGTGTTTGCTCCACGTGCGCGCCAGTTGCGTCCGGCCGGCCGGTTCACGGGGAGTCTGCATCCGTGTTGGAGGTGTCCGCACGCGCACGTTTCCGCGGCGTCGTGGTGTCTTCGTCTTGCGAAAGGCCGCTGCGATTGGCGTCGCGCTTCTTGGAGCTCGACTGCTGCAAGGACCAAACACAAGGGGCTTCAAGGAGATGCGAGTGACAAGGAAAAGCACGAGCCACAACCAAGCTCAAGGCTGTTTCCAACCGCTATCCAGACATTTTTTTTAAAAATAACATTGAAATTTCTTGAAAATCTGTCTTAAGGTAGTGCATTTATCGTCCTCAAATTTCACGGGTTTCCGGAAACGATTTCACAGGTTTTCCAAAAATCTCCTTTTCTTCCACACACAGGTGAAAAATAGTGAAAACCTCCTCGCTTACAGGTCGTACCACACACGCTCCCATCTGCTTCTGGGCGTTTGTCTGAAAAAAATTTTCACCTTTTTGCTCTATGTTGCAACATCTGTAAGTAGCAGCATCAACCGGATGTTTTTTTACCATTTTGCTCCCTCCCTGTACGCAAGGAAAACAGCATTTTTAGGCTTAATTTTTTCACCCAAATCTAACACTCGTGCAATTAGAGTATGACCAATGCACCACCTAAGCACGCCTTTGAAAAAGTGTCATTGTACTCAGTTCATTGAATTATTTATACAAATATTTTTAGGCCCGAACAGTACTTGAGAACGCTTCATAAAACACTTCAGAGAGCCCACAAAAAAGTTTTACACTCAGGACATGTCATGGGGCTTGGTTTTTGTGAGAAAAGCCACATGTTAGGCTCCACCAACACACGGGTGAAGGCCATATAAGCAATCCGTAGGGATTAGATTGCTTTTGCGAGCTCGATGCCAGGGCATCACGTAACGTTAAAACTATCTCATTTTCACCTCTCGAGCCCTAGCAAAAAGGGTTCTCGATGAATGTCACTAATTCACCTCTCAATGGGGTGAATCAAGATACTTGTGCCAGGGGAGACTCGAAGGAAACCGCAAATTATTTTTATTAAATCGCAGATTTATTTTTACACATTCAAATGTGTAAAAATTACCTTCAAAATACTTTACGCACGACGCAATTCACTCGTCGAAATGCTTCTTTCAATGCTCAAGACAGCCTTTGAACTCGGCGAGGTTGATGCCTTTCGGTGCCTTCGCCATTCTTTGTTTCACTTCTTCCACAATGGCAAACTTTTTCCCTCCGTAAACTCTTTTTCAAAAGAGTTGCGCGGGGCAAGGTTGGGTAAATAAAATAGGGAGGGTGGAGCTCATATTACTGCCAGTGTAATACCACACACAAACCTTCTTGCCGTACAACGTCTTGCACAATGAGTTGGTCTTCCTGCCACAACCTTCAAAAGGAAGTCACGAAACCTAGGTTCTCGAACGGGGTTCCACTCCCGTGGGTTTCCCTAACTTTTAGTGCTACAAAGTAAAAGTGTTTTCCTAGTTTGAGCACTATTCTAGCGGACACACATCCCCGTCTGATTCATAAGTAGGGGCCGAGCAGGTCTCACTCTTCTTCATTATTAATTGCCGTTCTGTGCTTCACTGAATCAGTCCTGTGTCTGAAAGGGGCTCTTAAAGGGATACTACAACAAAATTTTGTTGCTTATTTCTTGGTCTATATGTATTCAAAGGACCAGTATCACATCGAACACACAAATATCTTGTTAAAAAAGCCACGAAAAAGAATTTTAAAACAAATAGACCCTTTCCAGAATTCAGTCTGGCCACTTTGATCACTATCATCATCATCTGAAAACGGCATATGTGCTATACTAATGGCGGCCTTCTGTTTACTGATGAAGGAAGAAGTTGAAGATGCTCCTGAGCAGATGATTCGAAGCCTATACATTCTAGGTGTTAGCGCGACGTGAAGCAGGAATTGGAAGCAAGAGCTGCGTAAGCGTTCATTTCTAACTCAGTCCCAGTCAATTTGTTAACAGATTGACTGGGACTGAGCCGATTGAGTGCTACTAATTAGTAGCACTCAATCGGCTTCAAAGCCTCTTGATGTATAGGACTCTATCAAGGCGTCTATGTGGGTTGGCGCTTGGTTCCGACTGGCTGCATTTGTTTCGCCATCGACACTAAAAGAGTTTGAAAAATAATTGTAGTGAAGTGAACATTCTCGTTTACCGTTGACCATTAAGTGACGGTGCCCCATTATATACTGCAGACCACAGGCTCATTGCCGCCATTAGTATAGTAAAAGATGAACTGCCATTTGAGTCACCAGATGGCACTGAATTCCGGAAAGGGTCTATTAAAAGATTAGTAAAGAGCACCTGGTGAATGTCATTAACGCCTCGTTTGTAATGCCCGTCTAGGAACCTTGAGAGGTAGAAGGCAATTGTCTTGCCTCCGGCCACGACGAGAGAAGGGGGGAAGGAAAAACTCCCCACTTCCCAAGAATCCCTTTTGTGTGCCCCAGAAGTCGCTATTGTCCCCTTACAAGATTATAGAAGATTAACCCGTCACTCAAAATTCATACAAAAGCAGCCGCTTCGGTGGCTGGAACGACTAGGCCTCTCGACGTCAGCCTCGCCGTAGCTTTGCTTGTCCCGAGACGAACTACGTCATGATTGCATTGGATGTTACATGCTCTCCGCTGGCTGTTCTCCGAGCGCTTGCCCAAGTGGGCAGTTTATAATGGAAAATACACCCACCAGGCTCACAACACAAATATATTATTGTCATTTACGGATACTGTGGATCATATTCAACCCATTTTTGGACACAACCGGTATATTTCAAATTTCGTTGAAGTATCTTTTTAATAGAGGAAACAGAAAAAGAAAACATACAAAATAGCGCCAAAAAGACAAGGGCAAGAAGTATACAGGACACGCGCTTTTAATAGAGGAAACAGAAAAAGGAAACATGTTTTTTTTTTTGTTTCCTCTATTAAAATTGTTCAGTTGCGAGTACAGTGTTGGCCTGTAGCGTATGTATTTTTTCATCGTCCGCGTTTTCTGAGCTGCTTTCCCCATCCCGTACGATGTCGCCCAACTGACCCGGCTTACATGATTAAAGACCTTACGGAGGCCTGGCTACAAGCGAACGATGCCCTTGCAACCTAAGTATCTGTACATAAATGCAGTTGTTGACCTCGTTCAACTAACGACCGGTCGATAATTTTTACAACTCTGTGCCGAAACCCGGGAGAAGTTGTGATGAAATGGTGAGAACCTGGCGGGATTTGACAAAAGATCAAACCAGCCAACGTACCAACTGTTGACCGGCAACACGAGCGAGACATTGAGAAAAGTAACGGACGGCCAAAGAACCCTCGGCGATGCCGATGTCGAATACCTAGTCCAACAAAGATCTGCATCTTGCACAAAGGTAACGACTCTTTTTTAATATCTCGAGGAATTCATGTCAGAAACAACAACGGGCAAACAATTTACGAAATCATCGAGGGGCTAACGGACTACGACAGTCAACCGAATTATCTAGACGATGCCTTTGAACCTTTCGTACAGACCAAAGATTTCAAAGAGAAATTCACTATCATCGTAGAACATAGCAACTGCGTCGTTGGATACCTATCAATGTTCAAGTTCTAAGCTCAGCTAGCGAATCAGCGAACGACGCAACCAGGGAATGTCGAGGACCGTCATAACACCCCAAATCCAAGCAGCATCATAGAATAACAAAACCTGGTGAAAGCAAGTCAACTCGGCATGACAGCCTGTCCCAAGGATTAGGAAGTCGGAACTGTCGCCATAGTGGCCGTCAACTACACCAACGACCCACTGGTCACAGAAGACCAACCAGACCAACAGACAAAGCACAACACTCCACTGGGAGTCTGTTGCGTGCAAACGACAAAGACTAGATGCAGACCGACAAGCTAGGTCATAGCCGGTTCGGCGGAAGAATGTGAACAAGCTTGTTACGCCGACGCTCATACAAGAAGGGGACATGGGCAATTGACAAAGAGAAGAAGAAAAGTGAGGAACAAATGGAAATGTATCGAGGTAATTATCCACAAAAAGGAACGTCCATTCAGACAAAGTATTCGACAGAATTAAAAAAACATTGCGTAAGAAGCAATTTCGTAGACAGAACAGAAGAAGCAATTTTGTGGACAGGACGAACCAAACGAGAAACATGAAGCGAGGCAAAGAATCGTAAAGTATCAACGACTAACGAGAGCAATAAAGGGAACGAGAAAAAGGGCACGTAGCTATAAAAAGAACTAGAAAAAGGGCATATTGCACAATTTGCACCTCGTTCCCAAGTCATGGTTCTGCTAGACGGGGTCACTCAGTATACTTCGAGCTACACTGGAATAACGAATGGCTGCTTCGTTGTCCCCATCACACGAGAGAATATGTCACCTCTAGATGCCACTGATTGGTAGACAAGGGAGTGCAACACCACGACCTAAACGACAAAGAAACGATCGCCAGGCTACCAAAACGTCCCCATAGGAAAGAGAAACGTCGACCTGGGGGAGAACGACAACATTATCTTTCTTTTTACATCCAAATTAAAAGCAATGATACATTAACTTCCCCGTCACATTGTCCAATGGTCATCCAAGAAGCCCTAGCGCGAGCGCACCTTTCGGGAATCTGGATGTCAGGGACGGTCCGAGTGTACGAGATTCATTTCTGCCATCTGAACCTGCCTTTCTTGCCGCGCGCCGTTTTCATGTTGCCGAGTTGGAGCGCATACTCAACGTTTGTGCGCTCAACTGGGCGAGCGTGGACGTGGACTGCTCCGAGGATGCGCTACCCCCCCCCTTTACGATCGACAAAACGATACGGTGGCATCGCCGTCGTGCCGGTCCTTCATGCCGACTCGCCGATGCTATGACACCCGGATGGCATTCCTCGAATTCTGCCCGGCGTCATCCAAACAGAGGTCCTCGTGGACCATGACCCGAGATCACCGGCACGGGTGAAAACTCTCCGAAAAACGGCACGCTCAGGATCAGTCTGGGTCGGCACGGCGAGGCCACGTCACATCTCCTTCCAGAGTACAGACGACGTACCGTCGAGCCGCGCGACATTACGGGTGCGGATGTGTCCGAAATTGTGTTGAACTTCACTGCGCAAGTCAGCCTACTGTTTCGAGTCGACCCCAGCCAGGGTCGTGCGTGACGGATTGTTAGTCAGCTCTACCGGCTGGGTGTACGTGCACGCTAAGGCGAGAGAGACGGTTGGCAGCGGGCATGAACTGCCAGCAAGCAACGACTAGTGAAATCTTTACCTACGAATCTGGGGAAAAAGGACCCTTTAAAACGAGCGGAAGACTGCTTCGACGTGCGCCCTCTTGCGCTCCGTCCACCGGCTCGCTCGAACCACGTCGCCGGGAAGCGGAAGTATGGCGTAGAGACAACAGAACTGCCATGGAGACGCCCGTGCGCAAAGTGGGGCGGTTTGTTGGGGCGCGCTGGACCGCACAGGAGTGTACACGCAGTTGCTCGTACGCTTCTCGGTGCGGGGCGCCGTGGCGCAGTCAGTGTGCACCGGCACATGTTGCTTTTGCCAACTTTGGAGTGCAAACAGACTTTACGACGGACCACAGAGGACGCTATGAGCAATCCAAGCCAATCCAATGCACAGTGAGTGTCGTGAAGCTTTTGGGGGGGACAGGGGAGGCGCAGCAATGTGCGGGACCTATAGTCACGTGATACGTTCAGAGTTCCAGATTGGTCGGGATGCCTCAGAGCGTCCGTTGTGGTCGACCTTAAGATGAAACAGAGTAGACCATGCAGAGCCTCACCTTTTTGTCCCACTGTTGGTGAAGGTACCTCAGAAGAATGTTGGTCTTCTCCGTGGTGATCACTGCGCAAGAGCAAACACATTCGAATGAATCGCAGGATCTACGTCTACAGTGGGGGGGTCTCCAAACATTTTGGCCAACAGGCCAAATTGGGAATCTGTCGCGGTCTCGAGGGCCAGAAAATCGGGACAATATAAATGAAGAAATACTAAATAAATAAACCTAAAATAGCATTTATATACACAACTAACTTAAAAAAATAAAATAAAAATGTAAGCTAAGCATACTTTATTTTTAAATTCAATATGTTGCTAAGTATTACGACAGAAAAAAATTGTAACTTATAGACAGCATTAAATCAAAGCACAAAGGAACTTTGGCGAAAGAATGATAGATCTACCAATGCAGTCCCAAAACACGCTTAGCACAACCTTTTCCGACGACGGTGCAGTCCCGGCTTTTTTGTCACTGGCAAGTTCGCACCCTGCCAACGTTTGATTCGTAATTTCGTCTCTGAATTGTAGCGATGAACCCAACACTTGTTCATAGTGATAAGGCGGTCAGAAAATTCCTCAAGGGCATTCTTGCACAGCTGCAACATTTCAGCGGATGCTTCCTTCCAGAGGTCTCTCTGCACAGAGACGGGCAGCCGCGGAACCAGGCGTGCGAAAAGCCTCGTCGTATAGCGTGCAATGTTCATAGGGCGCCGAAACTAGAGGGACGCACTCGAGTTGATGCCTGTTTTGTACCCTTTTCTTCAACTTTTGGTGCCGGTACTACAAACTTTATGAACGCCCCTCGTATATCAAACTACAACCGTCCCTACTGAAGCCGCAGTACTACAGCAGAGAACACGGTACAGTAGGACCTCACTGATATGCTCCAGGATGATACCATCTCCCAGCTTATACTACATTAGCAATCCTGGCCACGAGAGATGTCCCTAGATTTGCGCCCTTCTTTTTACTGGTCCATACGTTCCCGGATAACACGAATTTCCCGGAAGTATGTTCCACCTTTCGTAAACTTTTTTGTTTGGATGATACATTGTTTGGCGGTCAGCCGACGGAACTCTCCTCTTGCAAATGTGGAGCGCTCGTCAAGCGCTCAACCTGTACTCACTCGCTCCATTTCAGTTTCATTATTTTACGGCAACACGAGATAAAGTCATGACGATGGTATTGGATAAATGAGGCATTGCTGAAAATGTACAAATGATCGAAGCAAAGTACAATGATCGAACCGGAAGCATCGAAGCAGACGATCGAAGCAGCACGAACACCAAAGCTTCCACCAATGGTTGCGACCGATGCGAGTGAAGTCCTCGCGCCACGTACGTCGGCATGCTTTATTATTGCTCCATAGCGAGGGTATGGCGATCAATTGCCTCAACTGTAATGTGATCAGCGTGTTTCTGCCTCGATCGGGAAGGCATGGGTCGCGGTGCAAGCAAGGCATTGACGGGGAACTCAGGATGTGTTCCATAAAGTGAATCCATAAAGCGAAAACAAATAGAGCAAAGCTGGACGCGGGCATATTTCACACTACCCGCGTCCACGGGAGTAAATTTTACGGCGTTAGTGCGGTTAGTGCCAGGAGCGGTAAATTCGCATATTTATTTTTAAGCGGTTCCCAGACAGACACGTGATTGGGAGTTACTCTAGGTAACTCCAGCAAGCACTTTAAGCGTGTCGCTTTAAAACAAACAAAAAAAATAAACTTCCGTAGTATTCTGGGAGAAGCCTCAACCCCGAAAGATAAACTGCCCCCTATTTTTGGCTCGATTTGCTATATTCTTTTAAACGCCGAAAGATAGCCTACTCCTAGTAATCATAGTGTTCGGATCAATGATGACCTCGGCGTAAACGCGGCCAGTTAGCTATGGCAGGATAGAAGCAAACATTGCTGGCTGGGAAGTACAATCTTTGCCACAGTGTGCCTCGCCACAATAACAAGTTTGGCAGGAAAACATAATCTAAAATAGCATCTTTTCAACTTTCTTTTTATTAATGTAAATTGAAAGTTCGCTTGTTCGTTATTTTCACCCGATTCGTTTTTGATTTTAGAATATGATTTCCATTTGTCGCAATGCCTCGTCTCTCAAAAACTTAGCGAATTTTTTTTTTTTACAGCGTTTTCTTTAATTTAATATATCTGGCATTTAGGACTGCGATGGCAACGTGAAAGCAGAAAACCCCCGTCTTTCAAGAAAAAGCTAAACACCCTTGCTGTGGCCGACCAGGACCCCAAGAAAAAAACGGATCGACGTAGCGAAGGAACCTAGGCCGCCTGCTTTCACGGTGAATACCGTAGTCTCCAAAAGAAAAGACACAGAAGGAGACGCCTTTGTGTTTGACTTGGGGACAAAGCAGGCATCGTAGAGCAAAGCATGGACAGTTGTGAGTTGCTTCGCTTACGTAATTTAAGCGACCTTGAGCATCCGGTCTGAATTTTGATGGCAGCATCCTTCAGAAAAAAGCCACAAGATCGCTGAAAAGACAAATACCAACGACTTCACCACTTCCAACGGCTAGATAAGTTGATTTAAAACTGAGCATGGAATCTACCGCCGAGTGATTGGAGAAGCGGCAAGTGTGAACAGACGTCGAGAAGTCGATTGCAACGCTTCTGGGCGTTGTTAACGCATACAATCCACTCAACGTGTTTAATAAGGACAAACTTCGACCATTCTTTTAGTTCGGCCGACGAAGTCCCCAGGTATGAAGTGGGAATCATGTTATGGCGGTAAAGTCAGCAAAAATTGAATCACGGTGCTGCTCTGCTGCAACGAAGAAGGATCATAGATGATTGCGCCGCAGATAATCAGGAAATAAAAGCGGCCAACGTGCCCCAAGAATAATTCCCGAGTTCCTCGCTTCTACGAGCAGAACTTGAAGGCCCGGATGGCCCTCCCGATATCTCGACAGGCGACTGGAGTGCATGGACCGCAAGGGACTGCTGTTCCTAGACAACTGGACGAGGAGCCCGCCGGCATTTATCTTGCGTTCGGCCAATTCCTCGCAATGGACCATGACCTCACAACGAGCGAGCCACAAAGTGTTGCGGACACCATGGCGGAGTTATATCCAGACAAATTGACGACAGACGAAGTGATGACAACGACGACAATGAGTGAGAGAAGCCGCCAGCAGCTACTTTCGTTCAAACCGTCGCCGCATTGGATCAATGTGAACTTTCTTCAACCATAAAAACAGCTGCTGGGGAGAAGAGCTTGCAAGCTCTGGAGAAGAAGCTGTTCTTGGCGAATGGCCGGGTCGTGCGCCAAGCTGACTGACACTTTCAGAGAGTGAAGTGCCACAGTAACCGTATTAAATCCTGTTTCATATCCTTCTCAACTCTTGCTTGTTTTTCAGCACTTGAAAATGCACAATTTTTTCTTGTTCTGCTTTGCTGATTTTGTTCAGTGTCGACAACTGACGGCATAGAAGTATCATCGTCGAAAGTGGCGACACGACGAGCATCGGTGGCCAGCCGCGCAGAGGCGAGTCGCCGAGATGCTGCTTATGATGTTCGCCATGCGAAGGAACTTGCACGAACCACTTTTGTGCGTCCAATGCGTGCACCGTCTCATACCTTGTTCTCTGCATCCAGTGCGGTCACGAAAGACGCAGGCAAAGTATGCAAACTACTAAAGCGAAATGCTGCAAACGACCGTACCGGATGAAGAGAGCTGAACGAGCCCGTGGAGGCGCGGCAGCCGTGGCAACGGAGGGAGAACAACCAATATATTTTCGGTGAATTAAATGCTGATAATTACGGAGGAGGTAGTCTTATGAATTATTCAACCCGAAAAAGTGGTTTTCCAAAAAGATACTTCTTCCCAACTTTTCGGTTTTCAAGGTTGCTTGAATCGTACGACTTCCAGGGTACTCTGTATTAATTCGAACAAACTTTTTACTAATAGTGGGTGAGAGTTAGTTAAGTTCTGTCTTTACCCTGCATTTATCAAGCTCAGCAGACATTAGATGAGGGGATAATCATTGTGGTGAGTTAATAATTAACTAAAACAAATTACCTTTTTAGTTGCTGGGTGTAGAGGTAACAGTTTTAAAGAATTTGCAGAAAGGTTTCTTTTTAGATAATAATCTATCAATTTTTGCATATTTTCGCCAGATTTAAGAATTGCGCTCTCAAAGAGCGTCACAAGCCCTGCCCACAATGACGCTCCGAAGAGTGATGTCGTCGCTTCAATCACATCATCATAACTATCTCGACCGCATGTCCTGGTGTGTGTGCCGACAACACAAGTGACTACATGACTGAAACAACCACGTCACTGTTGCGAGCGCCATTGTGGGCAAAGCTTGCAACACTCTTTTTATACCGTTTTTTAAATTAGGCAAAAAACATTGAAAATGCATTGATTACTATCTAAACAACCACTACCTTTTCTGAAAATCCTTTAAAATGGTCAGGCCTTCTAGTAGTAATTTCAGTCAATACTACAATTTCAACATGACCAATAACTGAAAAGTTGATTAACAAACATTAGTTAGTATCGGCGTGGACACACAGCACGGAAAACGCGGCAAAGCGTTTAACCAGATAAGGTTCTGTTGGTGCGTGCCCCAGTAGCCTATTCCAATAGCGTGTCCACCGGCCAGATGGCGCAATCGGAAAAAAAAAGAAACCAACAAAAAAAAAGCCTCTCTTTGCCATAGCAGCTGTGCGTCTGAGCATCCTGCGCGGCGCGTCTGCTCTGACCTTGACGAACGCTGGTTTGAACACCGCGCCAGGGACCTCTCCGCTTCAACGCGTTCCTAAAACTATTCTTGCCGCCGTTGAGGCACGAAACTAGGGTCATTGACGAAGCTGTGTCCATGCAACACGCATAGCAGAAGTGCCAAGTTCCACGTGACGCAGCAGATGCAGAAAATGACTTTAGAAACAAGCATGTCTCACATAGAAAAGCATGGAAAACCGGGCCCGCGACAGGCAACTACTAGCCCATTGTCGAAGAGCCATCTGGAGGCACTACTTGCAACCAAGGCGAGAAAAGGAGTTGTCCGGCAGCTGTGACACGCGCAGTATCCACACCTATGCATATCTTACGTTGTGGCAGGGAATAAGTTATTGGCTCGCTGAGCAAGAGGTCAGTAGTTTGATTCCTGCCTAAAGACACTGTCTTCTGTAGAGACAATGGACCGCATTATCATATTTTTGTTACAACATTACACGATGCTGTGCCAGTCCTAAAACAGATACTACTGCGCTAAAAATTTGCCACGTTAGTTATTTTACTGTCTCGCTGTTTTAAGTAGGCTTAACAATAGGCTGCACGACACAGCGTAGTATTGAGGTAACCCAAACTTTTATAGCATAGAAATGAGTGCCCAAAACATTCCAGAACGCAGGTTGTTTTGGGTGTCGCTACTGAGAGAGGAAGAAAGGAAAAACAGGCGATGGCTGGATCGTGCTTACTGTGCCCAGCTCTGCACATGGTTTCTACTCATAGTACATGTATACAATATGTAACGACGAAAATGATCCCTGGAGAAGAAGAACCCCTTCTCCAAAGATTTTTCGTCATTCTTGTCCAGCTCGCTTGAATCTTTGCATTTAAGTGCATTATAATCATACAATATGTAGAACATAACAAAGAGTGGCCCTTATGACAAGCGTTGTCATAAGGTATTGTCATTCATTTTACTGACATCATTTGTTTCCCATACAGGTAATTGAAATACCTTACTTGATTCAACTTGAACTCAGTTTCAAATATTCTAAAACCTCGTACATTCAATTTTTGTTGAGTTATAAATATTCAAATTTCAGAAGTAGTCAAGTGCTTAGTATTTAAACGCAACTAAAAATTAGGAATCCTGGGTACAACAAAATTGTTTCTTGGAATATGCATGCTTCAACCAAGGGACAACATTTCCAGTTCTCAATACAACAATAAATATAAGATATATATATATATATATTTGAGGCATTGAGAGCTTAATCATGTCAACATTTTGTAAAGAAAATGGCGCGTAGCCTACGAACCTCTCATGACATGGTCTGTAAAATCGACAACAAGGCAGCCTACATAGAGCACAAACCTCCTTCCTTACGAGTAGAGCTGTAAAAGCCACTTTCAGAAAATAGCTAAGCAAAAGCTTGCATCAAACACAGAATTAACTTCATTACTCAACCTAACTCAGAGTGTATATTTAAGTACCGAAATTACCATATTTTCCGGACAATAGTAGATGGTTAAAAGTTGAAATTTTACTCGGTGCAAACTATCTTCAGGTGCAAACTATACGAGGATTTTTTTTTCTAGATGCTTCACTGTGCCAAGAAATTAAAGATTTTATAAATAAGAGTCTATAAATGCTGATTTATGCATGATACAAGCTTCTTTGTGAGCTAATACAGCAGGCATATGTCAAGCTGCACCGTGTACGGTCATTTTTTTGTTCAGATAAGGCCTTAAGTTTGGACTACGCGCGGCATCCGGACTAAACACTGGGTGCGGACTTAGACCGGAAAATACAGTAGAACAAATTACAGTGACCTAAACACCGGGCGCTCGGGAGAAAGGGAATTGCATTTTTCTCAACGCAAAGATAAGCACCATCAAACGTTTAGTTGCCACCTAAATGGGAGCCAATAATACAAGGAGATGATGGCATCTGCTACTGGGAATGTTCCCTACCTCCCCCCCCCCCCCCCCTCCTAACCCCCTTCCCTAAAAATTTACACACATAGCTCACAACGCCTGCATCAGAGAACACAGAGTTCGAAACTCTGGCATTTGGTCCCAACCACAAGCACTACGTTTGGGCGGAGAATGAGCATTTGGCTCCCTCTCTGTCGTCAACTTTTGCAACGAAAAAAACACCGTTTTCCTTTGGCACTTTTTGTCAGCTACTCTACGGCTCCGTCTCGAAAAGCCGTCTGTCACCTCGGGGTCCGGCTGAGCTTACTCTCACCTTGATCCGAGGGATGATCCTTCGTAGGCAGGTACACCGACGGCCTCCGCACCTAAAAGTGGGCGATACGTCGGATTAGCTCGACAGCAGATTAAATGCAGACCTGTAGTAGTGAAAAGAAGAAACAAAGACTCCCATTTTCCCGGTAGCCAAGAGAGAGTAAGCGAATTCAAAGACCCTGTACCGTGTCCAGCTGAACTCCAATGGATTAGATTATGGGGGCAAGAACCTTCAAGTCGGCCAACCATAGTTAAAAATACGTCTATACAGTGATGTCTCGTAAATATGGACACCTCCGTTCCCGTAAAAAATCGTCCATAATGCGAGTTGTTCATAATAATGAGACAAAAATGCATGTATTTTCCCAGTCTGTTACCGAAAGTTGTGTCCATATAGCGGGGTATCTATATTTAACGGGGTCCATACTACCGAGACATGACTGCACTAGTTTTCCCCTTCACAACCGTAATAAAAAGAAGTCCAGCTCCCCGCGAAGCATTATTCCTTTCCTCTTCTATGTGGAGATTTAAGATATCTGTAGGTGCGGCTTAGATTAGATATACTATAAACAACTTAGTTTTCGCAGGCTCAATATTTCGCGATTTAGGTAAAAGCTGAAGTTTTGGAATAATTTGCGGGCTCCAATTTTCACAACGCGGTGGGATCTCAATATAGGTACCAAGGTCTTTACATTTTACTGCTTTATATTTGCCCAGTTTGACGCAGAATTGATGTTGGCTCTTGCCTCGGTTTGCAGTCCATACTGAAATCGCCATTGTGTTTGTGCATGTGGTCACAAAAACTCGTGTAGCGCAGTGCCAAATGTTCACAGAACGATGCCCATTGGCAAAATAACAAGTGAAGGTCTTCGACTGCTGTGTGCACATTATCGTGCTGCCCTTTCTCTTCACACAACAAAACTAGTCTCGGAACTTTGTAACTGCACCTCGTACAATTGAGAAACAATTACTGCAATTCAAACTCCGGTAGTTTTCGGCGTGAAAACTGTAGACTGAAAGCACTGGTCTTTCCCAGCCTGCTTTGCCTGTACCTGTGCAATGAGGTCGCAGTGCTCTGTATGTTAGACGTAATGAGTCCCCTGAAACACATTTTCATTAATAAAGTATTATAAGCCAATCATTAATTTTACGACCTTCGAGACACCGAAAACATGTTAATTTACTAAGTAAGAAAACTCTGAACACATAGTAAAACTGAAACAATTCCAGTGACTTCCACTCTGACATCACATTTTTCTGCGCTAGTCCTCCGCCTTCAGTTCAATTTCCTTTCTCTCGGCAAATGCACAAGTTTGCGGCAGACATCTGCCTGGTTTAGCCATCGCACAATAATCACGCATTTTGTGCACAAAAATTTACTACTCCTTATCCCCAGAGATCCCACACTCCCCAAAACATAACCCAACCTTACTTTTGGCATGATTCAGTAAATTGCACTGCCCTGACCTTGGCGGAACCGAGGACAGTTAGGCAGGCAATAAAAGCTGACTGAGAAGAACAGTCATCTTTTGTTGATAGCCTGCCAGCTGCGATAACAAGTTTAAAAGGCCACAGGACCTATGTGACCAAGTGACTCACATTTTGTTTGACAGTGATAGGGACTGCTTGTTTCCCCGCAATCACATTTTATCACTTCTACAAATGCTACATGCCAAAAAAAAAAGAAGAGATAAGCAGTCTTGTCAGTGATAGCAACTCAGATATTGCTATTTTTAGGGAACCTTGGTTCAATAAAGAAAAGTGCATTGTAATATGTGGTGGGGATTTTAACATTGATATGTGTGCTGATACCGCTGTGTAAAAGACTTTAGAATCTCTAATCAGTGCAAATGGCTGTGCAAATGTTATCAATAGACCTACATGTGTTACTCTTTTATCGGAAACGCTAATAGATTTGTTCACTTCAAATAGCTCTCTTGAATATATAAAGGCCGGTGTCATTGGTTGTGATCTGAGTGACCACCTCCCTATATTTATTTCTCTTAAAAACGTCCCGAAAAAGGTCTGCAAAACGAAGCGGACAGCGATTAAAAAAACAACTTTAGATCAACTAAACGCTTTCGAAATCACTGTCTCAAAGACAAATTGGAATAGTATACTAGCGAACTTAGTGGCGATGGTGCTTACAACACTTTTATTGAATTATTTCTAAGTTTGTATAAGACATACTTTCCCTTCACACTTATAAAAACAAATAAATGCATAAGAAAACCTTGGATAACTCGAGAGCTACTTTGTAAAATTAACACAAAAACGTCTTGTATGGTAAATTCGCTAAGTCAAGAAACAAGAATGATCTAGCAATATTCAAAAACTATCGCAACAACTTAACAAAAGAACTACGGCGTGTGAGACAGCGTTATCATTTCGACATGTTCAAAGCCGCACAGGGTCGTGCAGACGTCATGTGGAAGCAGATAAACTCTCTTTCTCATCACGATCGCCCATCCAGTTCTATTGAAAAAATTATGCATAACGGCACTGAACTTACTGGTTGCTCATTGGCAAATGCTTTCAACGAACATTTTGTAAATGTTGCGAGTATGCCTGCAACAAATAATGCTGCTATTTTTAGCGATAAAAGAAACAGTGACACAATATTTTTAGACCCTGTGGTAGAACCCGAAGTGTTGAGTGTATTTTTTCAGCTTAAAAATAGTGGAAGCTGTGACGTAGATGGTACTCAAATAAGGCCTGTAAAGCACGTGATTCATTTGTTAGCACCTGTAATAACTCACATATTTAATATTTCCCTAGCCACAAGAGTATTTCCTAAGCGAATGCAGATTGCTAAGGTTTCATTCAGTATTGCATAAAAAAGGAAGCATAAATTAAATGGGAAATTACAGACCCATCTCAATATAGCCAGTGTTTTCCAAGGCACTCGAAAAAGTCATTCATACCCGATTAACTAACTTTTTTAATAAGTATGACTTGATAATAGTGTCACAGTACGGTTTAAAAAAAGCACAAATCTATGGAATCTGCTCTACTTGTTCAAAAAAAATTCATTTTGCAAAGCTTTGAAAAAAAAAAAAAATGATGGCCCTTGGGGTATTCATAGACTTTACTAAAGCTTTCGACTGTCTCAATGATCAAAATTCTACTTTCTAAATTAGATAATTATGGAATTTGAGGGCACGCTTTAAAAAAAAGAAAGAGTTAATACGGTCGTATCTGGGGCATCGGATGGAATATGTCAGTATTAATGAAAACTCCTCCAACATAAAACCTATTCTTTCCGGCGTACCACAGGGTAGTATTTTGGGTTCTTTCCTTTTGAATATATATGTTAATGATATCACCACTATTAATCCAAATGCAAAATTTGTCAACTACGTTGACGACACAAGTATACTCTTTAATTCAAATAATGCTAATACCTTAATTGATATGGCAAACCTGACTCTGTCTAGATTAGAAATATGGAGTGAGAACAACGCATTGCAAATAAATGTGAAGAAAACAAAAGCCATGCTTTTTTGCCCTAAAAATAAACTTGTAAACATTACAAAAGACCTAAATTTAAATTCTAGCAAAATTGAAATGGTAAACTCCTTTAAGCTCTCAGGTGTTACTTTCTCTGAGAATATGTTGTGGGAAAATCATATAAACTACCTTATTCCAAAGCTATCCCGGGCTGTGGGCATGTTAAATCGTCATCGTTACATTTTGCCAGAAAAAGTAAAATTATTATATAATTCTCTATTCCACTCCCACTTAAATTACTGCCACTTAGTTTGGGGTACAACGACTTTCACTAATCTAGAAAAGCTGCGTGTCTTGCAAAAGAAAGCACTTAGAGTTACAGGAAATGTCCTATTTGACTTTCATACCGCTAGCTTATTCAAAAAATTTCATGTCATAAATGTCCACACATTATATGATTACAGGCTTGCCACTAGCCTAAAACAGGAGCAAATTAGAAATAATAACTTTTTTATAAATCTTGCACAAATCTGGAAACACATTCATAGTTACTCTTCCCGCGCCGCGGAGCTGAATGTTGGGAGGTGGTCACACCGAGAACAAACTATGGCACACAAACGCTGAAATACGTTGTTCCTAAATTATTTAATCTGTTCTTAGCTAAAGGTATTGATTGGGACAACTTATCGTTAAATGAAGTGAGGTCTCCCTTTTCTCACTGATGATTGGTGTAGTTGCACTCTTTACTCCATGTTTTGTTCTTAATACTATGAGCTTGTTTTTGTTTTTGTTTGCCCGTCATGCCCTATATGTCAACATTGTGATAATCTAAGGTATTGTGCTTAACATGTTGTGATAGCGATCATTCTCTGTACATCTGTGTTTCTCTTTTGATTGATGTATTACTTCCTCACTCTGTTGCTGCTGGTGTAGGCGGGCAGGAACCCGTCAAGCTGTACCTCACAGCTTTTTTTGCTGATTGCCACCATCATCTTATGGTGAAATAAACACTATTATTAAAACCGGACATTAAGATCAACCTCGGAAGCATAATGGTGGTGTCCTTGTGGCAATCAAAAATAAATTGTCTTCCTTTTATGTCTAGCTGAATTGCGACCTTGAGTTATGTTGTGTTTGTTTATCTGCGCAATTCAGTAAAACGCCTCTTACGGTGTCTTATTGACTCCCAGGGAGTGACTGTTCGTTTATTAATAAATTGCCCATACTGCTCTAAATGAAATCACCAACCTTTTTCCCAAAGCGAATTTTTTATTGTTTGAGGATTTTTGCTATCCAGAAATGAACTGGTAGCTATTAATGTCTACGTCATGCGATTAAAAGAACTTTCTTGACGTGAGCATGATGTTCAATCTCGTTTGAGTGATCGAGATGCCTACCCGTGACGATAATATCCTTTACCTGGTACTTGCCTCATCCCCTCATCTGGCTGATTCTACTGTGTACTTGCCTGGTCTTAGCAATCATAGAATAATAAATATATGGATATCTTTGACTGTAACTATTAAATAGCTCTTCTCACAGTTTATCCGGGATTTCAACAAAGCCAATCATGTCGGTATTCATTAGGAGCTTACTATGTTTCTTGGCATCTTTGCCCCCTTTTTTTCATCACAGTCTGTTAGGAGTACAATTTGGTGCTTTTTGAACAAAAGCTAGTTGACCTGGTCAATTTATATGTTCCTCTATTACATATTTGTGACGACACTGGTCGACCGTGGTACAATAAAGAAACAACCGAGAACTGTCGATGACAAACAGAAACGCCTCTATCCAAAAGCAAAGGCTAGTGGGTCCTCTTCAATGTGGGAAAAGTACTTTACTTACCTAAAAGAGTAGACTGCATAAATTACGGCTTCCAAAAGGAAGCACTTTCACCCAGATTTACCGAATAATCTTCGTCTTAACCCCACTAAGTTTTGGAAAACGATAGCACCCAACCCCAGTCTCCTCACCAAATTACCTAGCTAAACTTAGAATTAATTCAAAATCGAGCTGCCCGTTTCATTCCATCTAATTATGATTGTACCGCCAGTGTGTTAGCCATGAAAGCCTCTCTCGGCCACTAGACTGTCATTTCTTGCCGCAGGCAATCACACATTCCTCTCTTCCATAAATTTTTTTTTATTACCACCCTCAACTCAGACAATCTCTGTTGTTAGATCCCCATCATTCATCTCGACGCCATTCTAAGTTTCTCAGTGTATGTCGCATCCCCGGTTTCACCAACTCATGTTTTCCACATCCCATAATACAATGGAACAATCTGTGGACCACATAGTTCACATCAGTGGCCCATAAATTTTTAGAAGTGCAGTGTCATCCATAATAAATATCTAACTAAGGTAATTTTTTTGTGTGGCCACTGCCTAGCCAGGAGTGCTTTCTTTTTTTCCCCCTCTTTTGTTTCTTTTTGTATAATGTATAAGCATTCCTCCTGTCCTTTCAGGGTAAACATATGAATGGATGAATGTTATACACCGAAAGTAGGCCCACTCCCTGTTTTAACCCAATTTGCCCTCAATCTTAAATGGGCTATCTTTCGGGACATTACGGTATATTTCTTGCGGTGGCAATGATTTCTGAGCAACAAACACCAGCTGGCTTCTATAGCACGTGTCACAAAGATGTAATGCCCATGTAGGATCAAGATATGCTGCCAACATAACAGAGCACAACACTTTTGCCTTAATGACATATTTAGGTTAGATCTTACACTTGGTCACATGTGTGATGCCCAAACTTTTAATAATGCAAGTTTCACAATCGCATAGCTACGAGCCCAGCTCTCCCTACTCTGTGTGATGTTGTTTACAAGGTTTTACAAGGTCTGTAAGCTTGTACACCACTTCCCGGCATCAACAGTGACTCTGAGGGGAGCGGCTGTCGATCGAGGGTCACAGGTTTAAAACCCCAGAGCTAGACTCGCGTAGGGTGACCACCTTCCTGCTAGCGAAATGCGGGACACGGGCAAGGGGGGGGGGGGGGGGGGGGGGGGTTGAGGAAATTTATTAACACACACCACGAACCGAGGCTTTGTTAATACATTTAACATCATGTGCTGTTTATACACCTGCTAATTGTATTGCAGCAATTAAGCTCAATTAATTTTTACTAAAAGTAATATATCTCTTGTTATTGTTTCCTGTCAACGCTTACTTTTATCAACATAGTCAAACACAAAGTATTACCATTATGTTCTTTTTCAACCGTTCCGAGTTGCAGGCTCTGCCTTGTGTGGTCGTGTTCACTAAAACAAAGATCCACAGCTACCCTTCTGCATTGACAGAGCGATTTGAAAATAATTACAATATTTTATATTGAAAGTTTTGGCAAGCAATCTTTCTTTGAATAATTTGCCACCAAGGGGAGAGGCACAAGGGAGCATGCGCGTCGGTTCTCCTTCAAGAACGATGGTCGCTTCCCGGAATGCTTGGATAGAAAATGGTGTACCACTGCGATTCACACGATTACCAGCGACCTCCGGGCTTCCCCGTGCCCCATTGTTCGGCAGCGCCGTAAGTTCCAGAGTGAATTTTACTACAGTATGAAGTGCGGGACATTTTGAAGATTTGGGAATTTCTTGCGGGACGCGGGACACAAGCCCTCAATGTGGGACAGTCCCGCGAGTCGCGGGACGGGTGGTCACCCTAGACTCGCGTGTAGATAAGGTCCTTTTTCTTTCAAAGAGAGAGAAGATAGCTCGCGAAACGAGAGAACACACTCACGGTGGTTTTGCACGAGGCATCTGCCTGGAAACGGGTGAAGTTGTTCTCGTTGTACGAAGGCAGTCCCTTGAGAAACTCGGCCGCAGACTGGACAGGGAAGAGAAGGACCGTTTTTTCGTGTTCACCCGAAGCCCGAACACTATGCAGCGAAGAATAGTGATCTGCTCGACCGCACAATTTGTCCAAACAGCAAACCACGCGGATGAAATGGCGCTTAATACTGCAGGGAGCCCCACTGGGCGCTTCCACTGGCAAGCGCTTCCCTAAACCTTGGCAATAGCAGACTAACTTTCCGAGCCAGGAGCGACGCACTCTTTTTCTCTTCCAATAATCGGTTCGCGATTCTTTTAGTCTTACGGATAAAACGTGAAAGACAAAACGAGAGAAACAATGCAAAACAGACGTGTTATGGTCTGTGTCGCCGCCACACGTCAGCTGTTGCACCGGTCGGACGCCTTTCGTTAGCAAACAGATGCCGTAAGTTGGGATTTCAAGTTCTTCGTTTGTCAATTTTTACTCAGGCAAGTTTGCTCAACCAAATTTTTATGCAACGATGCCTATGCGGTAAAAGGTAGCACGATACATTAACCCCTTGCCGACTCATTTTTTTTCTTCAAAGAACATACGGCGAAACTTGACTTAAAACCAGGGTGTCTAGCAAATTATTATTTTGAAATTCCCTGAGTTTCCCCGGTTTTCCCTGACAATTTCAGGTGAAATTCCCTGACCACTGTAGAGGCAGTTATATATGTAAGACCATTACAACACAAGGCATTGAGCATTGAGCACTGTGAGGATAGTTTTGCACGGGCTTAATCCAACTTGCATATACCAAAATATTTGGGTTCGTCCAGTCCGGATTAAACGAGCACTTTCTTGCCGCCGACGTCGTCAGTGAAGAGGCCGCTTCCGGAAACACAATGAAAACACGACACTCAACCACACACGTCAATAACCAAACGGCAGCCAGATGCACACTTTCAGATACTTTCAGATGGGGTCTGCGGCTTTTCCATTAGTTACTAAACCTAGTAGCTCTACTTAGATCTAGCCTAGTGTCGCGACCTCAATCCAATCCAGTCGGCTGTTCCATTTGCATCGGGTAGCACACTCGGCATTTGGCGAGCAGAGCCCGCGCTCCGCTCTAAGCAGAATTTATTGCCTATTTTTCTGCCTTTAAGTCCTCTAGTCTTTGCTTAGGGCACTCGACGGCGTTTCCGGCTCATTTTCCCTGACTGGGCTCGCTTTTTGACAATATCCCTGACAATTCCCTGATTTTTCCCGGTAAATAAAATTTCCCTGACAATTCCCGGTTTTCCCAGTCGCTAGACACCTTGCTAAACATTCAATTTACATCAAAATAAGACAAAAACATTTCCTCGACTTCCAGGAGTGGCATCTTGCTCTAAACCGGGTCTTCTGCTTCTTTTCAGTAGTTCTTCACAGTGAGATAGTGCTGGAAACATTCAGGAAGGTGGACAGCAACCTGTCCGCCTTCCCACATTGTTTCACTCTGTTTCGTGCCGGCTGCGCACACCTTGCAAGCCCGCATAGGGTTCTTCTCAGTCAGTGCAATACAAAGTATGCCTAAGCATTCAACACTTTAAAAAAGAAGTTTTTGTATCTCTTCGTCTGCTCAAGCGGACCGCTGCACCAAAGCCTTGTTGTTTTAAAGCAAACGCTTATGAGTGCACTTTTTTTTTTTTCTCGGTTGAATGGGGCGGGATAGACGAGCAAACAACCTAGGGTAAAAGTGCGCTCTCCATCTGGTGGAGAGAACACTAAGCTAGTGACGAAACCGGAATATGAGCCATTCGTGGTCAGGCTTCCTGGTTCGTAAAGGGTGCCACGAGTGATACTTGGCATTAGTTGGCAAGGGGTGAAAGGAGAGCTCCGGGAAAATTTTCATAGTCCCTGATTTGCCTCGAAATTGGTTTAATACAATTATAGATGCATCTGAGCTATCAAGCAAAGTTATTAAGGTTTTAAAGGGATGCTACAACGAAATTTTGGCACTTATTTTTTTGTCCATGTGTTCAAAGGAGCAGTATCACATCGAACACACCAATATCTTGTTAAAAAAGTCACGAAAAGGAACTTTAAAACAAATTAAACGATTAGCAAAAAGCCAACTGCTGGATGTTGCTAACGCATCGTTTGTAATGCCTGTCTAGGAACCTTGACAGCTAGTGACGGTAACTGTCTCGCCTCCGGCCACGACGACAGAAGAGGGAAAGGTGGAAGTCTCCTCTTTCTGAGAATCCCTTTTCTGTGACCCAGAAGTCACTATTGTCCCTCTACAAGATTATAGAAGATTAACCCATCACTCAAAATTTTAACAAAAGCAGCCGCTTCGGTGGCTGGAACGACTAGGCCATCCTCTCGACATCAGCCTTGCCGCAGCTCTGCTCGTCCCGAGATGAACTACGTAACGATTGCATTGCATGTCACGTGGTCTCCACTGGCTGTTCTCAGAGCGCTTGCCAGAGTGGGCCGTTTATAACAAAAAATACAGCCATCAGGCCTAAATACAAACCTGCGATTGTCGTTTACAGATAATCTGGATCATATTTAACCTATTTTTGAACACAACGGGTATATTTCAAATTTCGTTGAAGTATCCCTTAAAGTCTGGTCTGAGAAGCTGAGGGGCTTTACTGACCACACTCAAAAGCATGACCTCAGACATTGTAATGAGGGGAAATGTGGGGGCAGTACAGCTTGTTCTCAACACGTTTGCAAAAAATTGGACAGAGTGCAAAAAAAAAAAAAAAAATGCTGGTAAAGCTTATGCCAGCAAAACAAAACAAAACAAAAACTATTTTTTACACTGCCTGTTTGATTCACAAGTTATGCAACATAAGACGTCATCATGCTGAAGAGCGCGGGAAAATTTGAATGTTGGTTTTGGCATCAGCTTCATTTGCCATTTTCTCAATAGCTACTTCGAATTTAGAGATATAAACAGCGTACCAGAAAGAGCAAATCTCACGTATTCGGAGTTTGGTTATGTCAGAAAACGGCTCCCTTTTACATTGACAAAGTTACGCGGTTCCTTCAAACGGCCAACCATCCCTTCAACTCGCACGGTAGTAAAGGACGCCTTATTGCAATTCCTGACAGAAACTAGGCACGAATCTGTCCCATGAAATTCAAAGAAGGCGAAGCCCACTCATGTTTTCCACCGATGTTTTCTCATCCAAAGCTTAGGGGATTACTCTGGTCAGAAATGAACCCGACACATCCCGTGGTGCCAGTTGCCAGACATTAGCACCGCTGGCCAGAACCGGCCGTTCCCCAAAAGCAGTCAGACTGAGAATGGCAAGGCGTCCCCTCCAGATGCTTCCAGCGAGTGCTCCTTGCCTTCCCATTGGCTGCACGTGCGTGCTACAAGCTCACTTCATTCGAACTGGGAAGCTCGCGTTAGAGGCGGCACAACGGAACCTGTCATTCTGTCAGCAACTATGCACGAAACACCATGGACAGGGCCAAGTTCAATGGAATGTCCGTTCAATGAACCGACATTCCGTTCAAGCAGCATGGCCAGGCCCTTTTAATGAATGCCATCACAACTTGTCTGGAAGTATTGATTCCATACTTCATCAGGTGCTCTCAGGTGCTTTGCACTGAACCAGAGAACAGATTTAGCCCTGCAAGTGTGCTGCAGGTGCACCCCATGCTGTTTCAGGTGTGGCAGTTGAACCAGCCCTTACATGTTATCGCACTTGCACAGCAGAGATGCATTTCAGAAGCAATGCCACTATTGTTGCAAGATGAAACACACAATGGGAAAGTCTTCCTAGGAAATCATTGCGCTGAAGTTAGCTACCTCGCATTTCGATTAAGTAATTGGTAAAAAAAACTATTTTCGGGGTTAGTGTGGCGAGTCAACAAAAGGTCACCTCCATGCAACGATGAGGGACTGAGGAATAATTTAGACCATGTGGCTATCTTTCAGCTTTAAGCAGTGATAAGCAAGATTTACAATTTTAGCCCCATTGCTAAAACATCTTTCCATATGTTGAATTTTAGCAACGGGAATAACGAACTCTGAGAATCCCTCTTCGCGCATGCTTGTTAACGCCCGGAGGACGAGGTCTTGCGCATAATAAATTGGATAATTTTACCTCCCGCAGCACATTTGAAATTTAAACTTCGGGATATTTCGTGCTTTCTAACATGCGGTTGATCTGGTGATTTGTAGTTTGTGGTGATGTCACAGCCTTGAAATGCATCGTAGCATTCATAGCCTAGATGACTTCATCAAATATAGTCTGCAAAATATTTTATAAAAGAAACTGCAATGTGACCTTTTTTGTTAGTAATCTAGCTAGTGGAGAAGAGATCCAAATGTTGTGCACCCAAGCGTCCAAGTTGGAGAGAACATAAATTATTGGTTTGCGTTTCTGACGCTGGGCTGACATCGTTGAATGCTGTGTCAGGCTGGGGCTTATGTTCAATCAGTGAAAGACCAATCGAAAACAAGTTCCTGAAGCAACACCCGCTGTTCAATCTGAGCATCGAGCTCAATCGAGAACACAGAGGCCTTCTATTGGGTAGAAGTGGAGCTTAGTGAAAAACAAGCTGGGCGAAGCGCCCCCTGTACATAGCTTGCAAGTGTCGCCATTGCTGGGTACTGATGCCCCTTCTCTCTACTTACAGGTTTCTTCCAATTACAACTTCTGCGGTGTGGAACTAACACAGAGAACCGAACGCTCGCGGCCACCGTATAGAATACTGGCATGGCCACAAATGATATCACATGCAATCTATGTATAGCTCAATCTCCATGCCAAACCCCTTTTTCACCTGAAGAACAAAGCAAGTTCTGTGCCAAGTTTATGCACTACACCAAGTAGATCTTACAACATTTCTATCAAAAGAAAAAAAAATTTGCTTTTTACATGTGGGACATGAACATTTTAATAACATGACAATTAGCTTCTCCAAAAAGCGTTTTAATTCACCGCTCAAAGCGGAAAATTAGCTAATGTCCGCAAGGAGCCCATCTCTTTTTACTGCAATTATTGAGGTACAACTGTAAGCTGTAGTTGTCATGTAATTATACATCAGCTCAAAGAAACTCCAGCTGAACTACTTCTCACCAGTAACTTTGACACCTCTGCTTACAGGGCGCTGAAAAATAGTAAACGTTATGTCTAACAAAAATTAAAAAAAAAAAAATATTTAAAAAGCTTTAAGAAATTTACAGGGAAGATAGACACTGCAGCCGTCGCATTGCACAATATCGCGTGACATTACACTTTGCGCGAAACGCGAACGCGTTACAACTATCTTGCGATGCCAGCAATCTAATCGACAAACTTTCCTTTTACGTATTTGCTTTTCGAGCTCAAGTGCGTCTGGAAATCTTTCGAGGATATCTGAGGGCGACGGACTGACCGTGAATACGATGAGACGCTAAAGTTTCCCAGCTTATCGAGAAAAAAAAAATAATTCGGGTGCGATACGTCGACACCCTCAGATCGAAGACTGCTCGCGACATTCAAGAGACACGTTAATTTTTTTTCCGACCACGAGGATTTAGCCACGGTTATTGGCTTAGGTTTAGAAAAGCTGAACGCCACAATTTAGAGGATATGCTTCTTCAAGATTCACTATTTGCATTACTCATACTTTCAGTGACCAAAGCCTCTCCCTAGATTGGGAGCAAGGCCGCTGATCCAAAAACTGCTAAAGAGGAGGAGCTTTCTGATGCCGTTTCAGACAGCAGCCATCGTGAACGCGAACTCATTTTTTTTGTTCTTTTGGTTTCTTGTTTTCTTTGAAAACTGCTCACGATCGCCACAAGGAAGTTATGGACGAGCTCGAAACAGACAAAGACATCAACCGACTTCGTCCTAAGTCGACACAACATCGTTTCCACCGATATATCGGTGACCGCACACGACGTGGAAAAATCCACGCGTAACGTTTTGACGACATAGCCTAGGGTTAGTTTCAGCTGCCGCGGGATATTTCCGGACGTAAATGTGAGGAAAATTCGCCATGGACTCACCATGTTCGAGGTCTCAACGTCCGCACTACGGGGCTTAAAATTAATCGATGTTTAGCAGCGGCCAATTTTTAAGCGCCGCGCAATTAAAATTTACAGACGGAGTGGTAATGTCGACGATGGATGCCCCTTCACGCGATCTTTCGAAATGCGCACGGACTGGGAGCGAGCACGTTATCTTTCTCTTCGGGCCGTGCGCTCAGTCTAGGTTCAGAGTTGATGTGTGAAACTTGCATCCCATGTAAGACTGACAATATATCAAAATGTCGACATGCATCAAGCAAGCCGAAGCTCAGCCCGCCCCAAAACTTCCCAGCCCACCTATCCAGCTGCAGAGGAAAAAAACGCAAAACATTGCTTGGATTGGCTCGGATCGCCGTGGATTGGGATCGATCGAGCGAAGTTTCGTTGTAGCTAGCTGTAGGCCTCCTTATCCGCTAAATTTAGAGAAATGTGTTTTCGAACTGATATTTTTGAGCGATCTTTATGAACAATGGCGACGGAAGTACTATAGCCACCATCACTGATCTCTATTTAATAGAGATCAGTGGCCATTATAGTAAGTACCCACCCTACGGGTGTAATTTGGCACGAAGGTGCTTCTTCTTTCCTGGCCTGTTGAAGTTACGGGGCCAGCTCTGGGCCATTGTTGAGAAAATGACATCTGGGATAGTTAAATCCACGTGCCATGTTATATACTTTAGGTGCTCAGTTGCGCCTTCTTCCATTCATAAGATAGATGGATTATCAGGATATAGAATGGCCGGTCTCCTTCTGTGCTTGGTCAAAAATGCCTTCACGTGCGCTTTCCCTTCCCGCCCACTACTCTAAAGATGTTTTCTTCGCGCGAAATAATGACGATGTCCAGCGCATCCGCAAGCACGGTGTTTTTCATTCACTGCTCTGTGTGTGTAATTACGACGCTCTTGATGGTAAAATCTCCAACAATAAAAGCTGTGTTGTGGCTCAACATGATTGCTTGCTGCACGTACAGTACATCACCATGCGGCAAACAATGAAGACACGAAAGACACTCACGAAAACAGATTTGTATCGCCGCGAAACTAATCGAAAATATTATTCGCTTTCCGGTGATGAAGGCGGCGAGAAACGGTTTTTACTAGAACTATATTACAAAGGAAGCAGGTGTTTTTTTTTTTTTGGGGGGGGGGGGGGGGGGGGGGGCTTCATTTGTCACGCATCGCTGCGAGTGACCTTGGGAAACCTCTCTGCTGAATATTATATTTGTGGTGAATTTCTAAGACTCCCTGTCGTGTATGTTTCTTCACCTCGTCTTCGTCGTTTGAAATGTTTTCATCGTGTACACCTGTAGGCTTTAAAAAGCCCGAACACGCTTTCCATGATGTGTGCATAAGCCAACACAATGTCCTTCGTTGCTCTTTAAAAAAATTGGGTGTAAAATTTGTTGCTTTGTTTTAAATTGGTAATCAAGGAGAAATCGTTTATTTCTATTTTAATAAAATTGTTTTGCAATTTGTGTGTTTCAGTTTATATTTATAAATAAGCGTCTATAATCAAGAATTAAGAGTTTTAATCAGTTTAACGGCAAAGGAACCTTTTCTTTTTTTTTTGCGCAACCAGGTCATTAAAGCACACAAGAGTCAAGACACCATTCTAACAAGATATAGACACAATGTCTTTTTTTATTATTTCTTTTTATAAAGCCCTTGTTGCTTACATAATCTTCATCTACATATCCGGTTTTTGAACGTATCTGAATTGAGAGAACGTTCTCTACACATCCCAGCTTTCACAATGCACGACAATATGTCGCTCCTGTCAAAAAAAAAATTTTTTTTCTTTTTTTTCACAAGCCGAAATAGAAAGAGAAGAGCAAAGCATAATTCGCAATGAACATAGAAACGACACATTGGGGCTCGATCTGTCACTGCAGTTCAGTGAAGTCGACGACAGCATCAATTTTCCGAGGTCTGGAGCTAGCGTACGTGTTCCTACCAGGGCTGGGCAGTATCGCGATACAAATGTATCGCAATAGTATCTTGGAGTTACTTTCGAGTATCTGTATCTCTGTATCGTGATACACTTTAAAAATGTATTTGTATCTCAGTAGTTAAATATATTTACAATGTAACGCTTGTATCGCTATACTTTGCCAGACTTAGGTAACTCTTTGCATTTGTTGCCCTCTTAGAGCTCAGCTCCTAGGCGCCCGTTCCCGGGTGTCGCGGCGTCGGCGTAACCGCGCTAAATTTAGCGGGAAAAATGAGGTCATGTGACCTCAACACCAATTCAATCCCCCGCTAAATTTAGCGGGGAATTGAATGGGTGTTAAGGTCACGTGACGATGTGACGTCGATTTCCCTGCTAAATCAAGCGGAGAAACTGAATTTGTTCATAGGTCACGTGACACCAAGTCATGTGACGTCATTTTCCCTGCTAAATTTAGCGGGGGAACTGAATTGGAGGTGAAGGGGAGAGGAGAAGATGGAGGAGGACGAGACGAGTAGGAGAGGGTGCGGGGGAGGAGGAGGGGCATACCCTCCCCTCCGTACCCTCCCCTCCTCCTCCTCAAGAGCTGCGCTCTAATTTCGGATTACAGAGACTTGTAAGCGTCTTTCATTTTAGAGCGCAACTCTTACCGCTCATTCACACTGGAAGCGGTTCCGCGTTCACAAAGCGGTTGCAAACCCGGTTGTATAAAGATCCACTGGTACAATTGCACGCGCACTCGATGAGCGGTTATACTTCGTCTCACCTCAGCATGGACTAACCGCAAAAGCTGTGCTAGCGCGAGCGGCTAGCTTTGACTGCCTTGTCTGAAGCACTCGCTGCGCGAGCGCTCGTGCAGCCGCCGAGGCTTCATTCGAAGCAACTAGCTCGCGCTTTTGCCACGCGCGGCTAACAATAGTCCATACTAAGGTGAGACAAAGCATAGGCGCCCGTTTCCGGGCTAGGCAGCGTCGGCGTCGTTTCGTTCACTTTAGCGGGGACGTTTTCCCGCTAAAGTGAACAGGAAAATTTGCCCGCTAACTTTAGCGGCTTAAGTTTCTCCGCTAAATTTAGCAGGGAAATTGACTTCACGTGACCTCAACACCAAATCAGTTTGCCCGCTAAATTTAGCGGGGAAAATGACATCACGACCTCATGTCACGTCACCCATGAACAAATTCAGCTGCAGGAGGAGAGGGGGAGGAGGAGGAAAGGAGGGGGAGTTAAGAGGAGGAGGAAGGGCATACCCACTCCTCCATACCCTCCCCTCCTCCTCTTCAAGAGCTGCGCTTTAGTTTGGCACAACAGAGATTTGTAAATGTCTTTCATTTTAGAGCGCAGCTCAGGCGCCCGTTTCCGGCTTGAGCGGCGTCAGCATCGCCGTCGCCGTCGGCGTAACCTCGCGGTGCATTATGGGAAATGTCCCATAATGCACCGCGCGAGGCCTTTGTGACGTCACACGTGACGTCACGTGACGTCACGAGGGGCCCGCGCGGTGCATTATGGAACATTTCCCATGATGCAACGCGCGGGGAGGAGGAGGAGGGAGGACGAGGGTAAAGGGACGAGGAGGGAGAGGGGAGGGGGATGAGGTAGGAGAGGAGGAGGAGTAGCAAGGAAGATGAGGAGGTGAGGAGGAGGGAGGAAAGATATACCCTCCCCTCAGTATCCTTTCCTCCTCCTCAAGAGCTGTGCTCTAATTCGGCGTTACAGGGTGTTGTAACGGCGTTCATTTTTTTAAGATAAATTTAAAAGATAAAAAAATTTGTTTTTGCAACTTCGTAATTTATAATATGAACCCGCCCTATAACATAATCCATCTCAGTCACCGACATTAAAAAAAACAACTGTGGTTTAAAGAGGTTACTTGCAAGAATGACAAAATCAGCTCCTCTCACAAAGCCCTCCACTATTCCCAATTTAGCAGAGCGAACGGTGTAGATAAGTAGACTGGAGAGAAAGAATGCCCTGTTGTTCAATCTACCACATTATGAGTCACTCAGAAGCATAGAAGATGACCGTTTGAGATGCGCACTCACAGCAAAACAAGGTTAATTTCTGGCAGAAGCCTTTTGTGAAGCATGGTACGCAGTCTTTACCGTTCTACAACGTGTGTCGAATAGCGGCCGGGCTCTTTAAATCGACCGCAAAAATCGGTTTCTTAATCTCTCGCGCGATGATTTTGTGCAGGGTTGATCACAGATGGTGCATTTGTTCTACAAAATTGGCAAAGAGCAAACTTACCTGAGGAAAAAGTAAAAAAAGAAAAAGGCTAAACTCCTATGGAAACACAGCGAAGCCACCGGTCTTCAAACAATAGGGCGCCGTTTGGCACGGGAGACAAGAGATGGCGCTAGTGGTCGCAACGCCAACAGCAACAATGTGACCTCGGTCTCTGCACCCGACGACTACTGATCTCCCAAAAAGTATCAAGTCCGTCTTAGGCTACATCACCGAAAGAGGTCATTGGTTACTACAAAGCAAAATAAAAACGGAACATAATATCTTTATACTTTGGATGCAGAGAAAAACACTATCTAAAAAAACGAGAAACGATCTGGCCAGAAACCATATTGTTCGATAAAACGGCGTTCTACGAAACGGCTTCTATGAAATTGGGTTCAATTAAATGGCGTTCGATTAAATGACTATGATAAAACAGGGTTCGATAAAATATCGAGAGCTGCAAAAATTAATGTTAGATTAGTTCGCAGAGGTGAGCTTTTCTCCGGATCTATGGAAAGTCTGCTGAACTCTTCTCCGCATCCACCGGTTTTCTGGTTAGCTTTTCTCCGCCGGAGAACAACGCAACGCCAAGGGCTCATCCGCCGGTCTTCCGGATAGCTCTTCTCCGCATCCGCCGGTTTTCCGGTGAGCTTTTATTCGCCAGAGAACAGCGCAACACCAAGAAGCTCACGGGAGAAAGCTCACAGAAGAAAAGTTCACCACAAAACTGACAGATGCAGAGATAAACTCACCCAAGAAATATACGATCAAGTTTTTAAATACAGTTTTTGCGGCTGTACTCTGGTTTTCCTGTGGGGAACACCAAACGGAGATATATACAAATTAGTATATTACCGACACCTATAGGGATGATGAAGCAGTAGTTCACAGTTCTGCAAGATGGAAACAATTAACAAAGTGATAGACACGTCTTTTGTTTTATGACATTGCCTCAATGTTGCATTCTTTGAACAGTAAGGAAGTGACCTCGTCACTGCACCCGACAATCACAGACAGCCACCAAATTGTGTCAGGACCATATATTCTTCGGCAACATCAACACCAGAAATCATAGGTTACTTGGTTACTACAAAAAAAAAAAATACATTTTTGAAAACGAAATTGTAGGCGAGTTTCCACCGCATTCATCAAGAGGCTGTTGAGCTTTTCTTCGCATCGGTCGGTATG